TATCGTCCTAATAATCCACGATATGTATATAGTTCTACACGAGACCATTCAAGAAGTTTTTTTACAGTTTTATCTTTTGAATCACTTTCGAAAATAAGAATACGAGATGATGAATGAAAGAGATCAATAATTGGTTCAATATGACTTCGAAATGCATCAAGATCTCGTTCGACATTACGAGCACATCCTAGAACAACTAATCGAAGAGAAGGAAGTTGACGAAGAAGATTTTGATATGATGAATTTGATATTCGTTGAGGTAAATTTGATTGAGAATAATCACGCACGAAAAAGGAACGATTATCAGACGGTATGTATTGACGACAAGTTGTAATGGAAGTCAAAGCCGTATGCACTACTATTTTTGATATTTTGATTAATGGAATCATACTCGCATATTTGTTTATGACAAAGAACATAGTAAAAATGACGGAAGTCAGAGTTATGAAAAATAATATGTATTTTAAATTGTAATATTTCGGTTGACGTTTTACAAACATTTTTGACGTTTGATTATAATTAATTTTTATTTCTATAACAAAAACATAAATACATGAAAAATGTAGCGTAAGAAAAATTACTTAAAAGGAATAAATAGGATGTACTTTAATTTGGGGATGTACAATAAATGGACGTCCTTTTTCTCAGTCGTATAATTGGTGTGAATATAAATGAAATATAATACCTACACCAACATCCATCCCATTTTGTAGACCATCTTAGAATGAATATTTTTTAAAAAAAACTAAAGTCTGAAAAGTGATAATTAATGAAAATGTCACTAACATACTGAGAAAACAGAAAGGATAGAGCAATCAAGTGTATCGATAGAAGAGAAGAAAAAAAAGTCAATGACACGTGTTGACAGCTATCAAATATGAAAAAAGTATCTATATAATTGATAAAGAAAAAAGAAATGAACATGAAAATATATCATATTTCACCTTTCATCGATCAATACAAGACACACTCATTTGTGTATAAGTTGTCGTTATGCATCATTACTTTCAATATTATCAAACTTTCAATATCAAGAATCATAACCATTTCTACTCGAGCGAGTGACAAACTAAATTGAAAGTTAGATAAAATTACAAAGGAAAGAAAGAAAAATATACAATAGATCCATCCATTTTTTCGTAGCAAGAACGAAGTTAACAGTGATGTTACATTGTAAATTAACTTTGATCGTAGTATTTTCAAAGGTTTTATTTCTTTTTTTTTTAATAAAAGCAAAATATTAAAATAATAATTTTTTTCATAATTTTCAGCTATGATGAAACTAACTGGTTCCTTGATAATAAACATATTTATATGCTACATTCTTTTATATTATTACAAGAATATTTTTTATAGTATTTCTTGGATTTAGTAGAATATTCAAGAGCTAGATTATATTTCTGCAGTGAAAAATAAGATGTTGCTATATTATTACATATAATACCAATTATAATTTCATTCATTGGATCTAATTTCTCTTGTATTACTGACGATTTTTCTAAATATGTAATTGCTTCTAAATGTTCATCCTTTATAACATAACATTCGGAAGTGTTCTCATGTATTATTTCTTGTTTTGTACTATTACACAATCGCTCTTTTTCAATTATTACTAAACCATTTTTCCAATGATCAATAGATTGGTTAAAATTTTTCAAGATGCAAGCACCTTTTCGCGTATAACCAATGATTGTTCGTAATATTTTAAAACCAAATGTAATTCGTTTTGTTTATAATAAAATACACCAATATTAAAACTATCATTAGCTATGTGAAAATCTTCTGTTGAATATAATAATTCATCTAATTGTATAGCTTTTTGAAGGTGTTGTAAACTCATTTCTGTATTATCTTACGAATAATAAATATTTGCTAAATTAGTATTAGCAATTGATATCATATCCGTATCATCTTCCGGTACGATTTTTAAGATTTCTGTATAATAATGAATGGCAAGTTCAGGTCTATTTTGTTTATGAGCAATACTTCCTAAAAGATCAAATATATGACAATGATCATAGATAGTACCGTCCGGAATACTTTCATAAAGTTTACAGCAATGATTTATATATTCATTTGCTTGTTCAACTTGTTCATTATTTAGACAAGCAATTACTAATCCAAAAAGAGCGATAAAAATGTTTTTATCATCTTTTGCTTCTTCTAATAGATTTTCAGAATAACGAATAGCTTCGACTGACTGATCCATCTCAATCAGAAGATATCCAACTTGATAGTCGATTAGTTCGTACCACCTAAGATTTTTACTTTCATCTACTTTAGACAAATAAACTTTATTTGTTCTATAATATAAACGAAATTTTTCTAGCATAATTTTTTTACTATCGTTCGTTTGAACCATTTTCATTATATATTCACGTAATAATTGATGCCATAAAAATTCTGATGATTCACGTGTTAAATCCTGCGTAGATTGTCCTGATTGATCGAATAGATTTAATGGCATTTCTTTTTCAATGATTTGAATAATAAATTATATTCAGTATGAATACCATGAATTTTCGAGTGTACACCGCACAAATATTTATACTTTGAATCTTGGATACAAAATATATAGATCGAATTGATTTGTTTATTATCATGAATGATTGGTATTATAGTTTGAGAAATTGACCCAGATAAAACAACGATTGCTTCGTTAACCATAGTTTGAATATAATCTGAAAATGTTGATCTATCAATTATGATGAAAATATGGTCATGAATATTTTTGTTGTATAACACATAAAACCTTAAAATATGAATAGATCGATGTTGATTATATGTTATACTTGAAACATAAATTAAGGAAGTAAATCCTGATTTAAATCTTTTACGAAATTATTTTTATTTATCAAATATGCCCTATAATGAATGATAATAACTTAGTTTTTTCTAAGTGACGTTTTTTTCACTTGTATCAAACGAAAAAGCTTATCTTCGTCATATGTACAGAACGCAAAAAGTAAATATGTCGCGCTATCGTTTGTATTGAGGGTAGGTGTGGAAGTAGATATCAATGCTAGCTTCTTCTCACACAGCCACACCCTTTTGTATACTTTGTTTGTCTTCAAACTAACTCGTAAAGCATCGAAAGAAACATTTGTGTTAATATTTTAAAAAAAAAGGAAATGGTAGAAGTATGCAACAAAGATTTGTGGTCACAAGTGTAAAGTTTGGACAGAAAATGATCGTGTTCAATGTTGAAGAAATTATTGGCCAATTATAAATACAATGACCGAAACTCCATTCACACCTTATTGAGAAGAACAAATCAAATGTGGCAGTGCTCACATGCATATCAATTTCATTATTTCAAAACAATTCAACATGCTGGTATTTTTGGAGAATGCTTCCTATTCCCAAAAGTTACACATTCCGGAATCGCTGCACCCACCCAATTTAACATCATTCAATTCCGGAATTCCTTACATACGATTCCTGCCTTTTCCGGAACAGATCGAATTCGATTCCTGCCAATTCTGGAATTACGAAAGATATGCTTGATGTAGAAATGAACATGGTGAGCGACTTATTCCATTCCGTAGCGGAATTCCGGAATTCCTGCACATTCCGGATTTTCCGGAATCGGTAGGAATAGGCAGGAATTCCGGCTTTTCCGGAATTGCATAAGTTATACTTCATGTAGAAATGATCCTCCTGAATAATCGAATCGAT